TCAATTTCAAATAATACTATTTTAACTAATTATACTATAAATTTATTTAAAACATTAGCACCATTCTATATGATCTCGTATTTCCTTTTATCTGGTTTGATTCTTCGCGCAGTGTCTCCTCCGTTCGGAAGATGTGAGTTATTTTCAATGCTTTTGTAGAATTTAGTGAAATCCCAAATTTTTTTTAAACGTATAGAAAAATTTTTTAGTTACCGCTATTGAACAAAAATTGGAGGGCGATTTTCGATTCACTCATGTAAGTGATTCACACTTTTGGTCTGTTACGATTATATTCGCTCATTTTGATTTTTTACTTTTTGGGATGGTAGTCTCGCATCATTGCACATTCAGAGGAAATTGCATTTTATCGTGGCGGCGAACGAGAGAAAGGCGTAGTGAACGCGAGTTTTGATAAGATTCTTCGACATGTAAAGAAAATCTATCGACTTCGTTTTGCGAACGGAATATTTGACTCAGTTTTGGTAAAGTATTGTGCTACTATGACCGCGTATTAGTAAGTTTTCTTTTTTAATTTTAGATTGAATTCAATTATATTTATTTTAATTTAAGGTTTATTAATTACTTATCTTATTTTATAGCTTGTTGGCTAGACCAGTGTTCGATCCTCGTTATGGTAAAACAATAAATATTAGTAATGAATTAAATCCTGTTTTATAAAATTATTTAAATTGAATATTTTGGGGGAAAATGTAGCCACGGAGTTTATGGGAAAACTTGATGCGGACCCAACAAAGATTATGGAAGATTATTCCCGAAATTGCAAGTATTGTTTTTGTTCCTATAAATCTATTCAGCTATATTGAACCCGAATATTAATTTTTTATGATTTGACAGCTGGCTATCTCGTTAACTTATCACAGGCAGTTGGAAGATTAATTTTGGCAGGACGTGATTTGACAAGATTCGCCGGGTACACGGTTTGTAGAGAAAGAAAGACAAACTTTTTCTAGCCTTATTACATTCAATATATTTATTCATTTTTGATATATTCAGTCTCGAGTTGCCGAATTATTTGATGTTCTTGATGATGTCAATAGTGGTCGATATGAAAGAACAATGGTCTCTAAAGATTCGACTGAAGCTAACATTAATAAAGGTACTAGCTATTAGCGATGTGTAATACATTCAAAAAAAGTCATTCGATCATGCAAATAATGGGTTTTAATCATTTAATAGTAATAACCCCCGCGGACCTCAAAGGACGTATCGTAACACAAGATGGTGTCATAGTCTTTGAGCATGTTCCTATTCAAACTCCAAATAATGACGTTTTGGTATGAATTTTTCGGAAGATTATTGGGTCTCCTTTTTAAGAATTAATGCTAAAATTATAAATATCTTTTTTAAGGTGAAAGATATGTCATTTAAGGTTGAAACTGGAATGAATTGCTTGATTTCTGGGCCTAATGGATGCGTATGTTTAAAGAATCGGCTGTTTTTCGACTTTGTCGGATAGCTAATTGAAAGTCCTCTTATTATAGGGGAAAAGTTCTCTGTTCAGGATTCTTGGAGACTTATGGCCACTATTCGGTTAGATAATGCTAATTTTTTTAATAATTTATATGATCATTAATCGCTTTATATTCTAAATGGCTATAATGGTAATGTTTTGATATAGATGGCACACTCACAAAACCTTCTTCGGATAAATTGTTTTATGTTCCTCAAAAGCCATATTTGGCACTTGGAACATTCCGTGATCAAGTATGTATTATCACACTACTACTAATTTTATCTATCTTCTAATCGTTGTCTTTTAATATCAACGTCGCAATCATTATTAGATTATTTATCCTGATAACAAAGCTCAAGCGCGTAAAAAAGGTTATGATGATGACGCGTTAATGGACTTACTCGGCGTTGTGCACTTGAGTTACCTCGTTGAACGTGAAGGTGGATGGGATGCTGTACAAGATTGGGCGGATGTTTTATCGGGTGGTGAAAAACAGGTAATCATTAGGCTGGTGTTTTGTTTATGTTTAGGATTACTTGAACTTAATTTTTTTTTTTGAAATAGCGAGTGGCTATGGCTCGACTCTTTTATCATAAACCTCAATTTGTAAGTTTTTTTCTCTGCGTTATTCACCAATAGATACCAAAATAACTCACTCTTATCGTTTCTTGTTTATTGATTATCTAGGCTATTTTAGATGAGTGCACGAGCGCTGTCAGTGTAGATGTCGAAGGAATTATGTACACACATGCGAGGGAATTAGGAATCACATTATTCACGGTTTCTCATCGTGTGTCGTTGGTAAGCGAGCTAGCTCGTGTCCTTAAGTTAATTTAAATTTCGCGTATTTTCTTCGAGTTCTAATTTATTTATGTACGCGATTTAAAATAATCTATTATTGAATATCTAAAGTGTGAGTATTTTTATTATTAAAGTAGATTGTTAATGTGAAATTACTATAAAAATTACCTTTCTGATAATTTTTCTTGCATTTTGGAATCTAGTTAAGTATCACGAATGGCTACTTCGCTTCGACGGTGAAGGTGACTATGAATTTAGAAAGTAAGGAATTCTTTATTTACCATTCTTTAAAATTTTCACCTTGAAAAACATGTGATCTCATACATTGAATATATAATTAATAGACTCGAAGAAGGTGATTTAGTCGCACCATTCGCATTCGCAAACAAGGCATCTGCATCAACGTCAGGTAAAAAGACACGTCACGAAGATGAAGAGGAGAAAAGCGATGATGATGAAGGTGACGAAGCGGATAACGAGAAAAATAGCTTGACAAGCAGTAATGGCGATGAATAATTGATCATTCTCATGAAAGTCTCGTTTTTTAATGAAGAATGTTCAGGCCAAGTACCATCATAGACATTATTTTTTGAAAGTGTGGGTGGAGAGGGTTAGTTGTACGCGTTTTTTTTTTGTTGCCATTTTTGAATATTCTTAAATAAGTGGGATTATGGCGAGACATTTGGACGCTCTAATTTTAATATATATTTTACATTGACGTTTAAAATGTCATAAAAAACAAATTATCTAAAATTTATTACATAAAAAGCCTAATGAATATTTTGATAATGATAATTAGGCGCAGTTAAAGCAATTATTATTTAAAGTTGATAATTTTGAAGTTATGATGGAATTATTTGACATAATTGCAAAAGTATTAAAAATGGGAATCCTCGAATTTCAAGCTTTTAAATATGAATAAGTCGTTTACATGTATTCAAAAACGATCAATTGCAAAATTATTACCGAAAGTTATTTAAGTGTATTATTCAACCATTCGAGTCCTTCCCACAAACCTTCACCTGTGAAAGCACACAACGGTTGAACAAACCATTTACAAAAATGACTTAGAGATTCTAAATCGAGCAGTTTCGCGATTTCGACGGCTGACATTGCGCCTGAGATATCTTCTTTGTTGGCAAAAATCAAGAGTGGTGAGAGAGGAGTTCGTGAAAATGAAATAGTCGACTTTTCTCCCTTTATTTGTGATAGTTCTTGTTTATCTGTAAATAGGGAATATATTTCTTGACGGATTAATGCAATTCGTGAGCGATCTGTCGAGTCTATGACGAAGATTATTGCGAGCGCAGTGGGTTTATCTGATAAATACAAATTAGAATGTAAGAAGAGCGGCGGTTATAACATGTAATAGCAATCTACATATTGTTTATTTACTCACATTTACGGATAAACTCCCTGCATCCTTCGGATCCATCTAATGAACCAACAAAAAATCTGAGTTTTGAAGTGACTTTTATTTCCCTCGCTTCGTACTCTTTTGTATATGGTTAAATAAAAAATTAAAGAAATGAAAAACGATAAAAAAAAGATAAAAATAATATTAAATTATACCATTTTGGAAAAATACAGGTTCGATTTGCCCACCGACTCCCATTTTGAACAATTTAAACAATATAGTGCGTTTACCTACTCCGTTTAGGCCTATCATAATGATATTTTGTGGTTCTTTCTTGGTACAGTGAAATGGAAGTAATGAGAGTATGGTGCCCATGATTTTTTTAGAGGAATTAATTTTGTGACAGCTGTTTCCCTTCTCTATTTATATAACTTCTATATTATGACATGCAGAAAGTTGCAGCCAATCAATCGTCTACAAATCATTTTCCTGCGGCTGCGGCTGATTTTCAAGTCACTTTTCATAATTGCACTGATGATGGATTGAGAGTTTACGAACAGAAATGAATTTTCGAGAATGCAATAATGACTACGATCAACAACTTGCTGAAATAAACGTATCATTTTAAGAAAATGGCTAACTGCTACTGAGAAACTTTTGCCGCTTTGAATATGACAACGGTATTTGGATTGTTTGTAAGTCGTAAACAAAGCTTGTGAAGCACCTTCTGTCTGAAATATATATGGTTCTGCGTCTTTGGCTTTTTTCTGAAGATGCATGAAAGCATAATCAAGATGTGTTTTCATGTTTTCACATCGATCGTTTGGGATGTTGGCATATTGCTGTCCCAATTCGCAACCACGTCATTACTGTCGAGTCCATTTTTCAGTTTTTTTTTCATCTTTCCCTCATGGTACTTGTTCTCTTGCACTTATTTGGCCTTAGATGGAATTTATCACCCATTTTAAACTGATAATCTCAAACAATTCGATTCGTTTATAACTATTCCAACGAGCAAACGCTTCTTTAGATTACAATTCGGACCAGAAACCGATCAGATTTAGAATTTGAGGCGGCAGTACGGTTTTTGCTTCATAGTCAGTTATTTCAAATTACTATCTTTAGCTGTTTTGAATGGCTTGAAATCTAGTGACTTTTTTTCTTTTGAAAATGACCCCGTTAAAAAGGACTTAGATATTTTAGTTTCGGTCTTTAATTTTGTCTTCCGATGACGCGTGAGATATCGAGACAAGTTGTTTAGTCATTGACACTAAGCCCGCTGAAGCGATAGTATTTATCCCAATAAAATCATCTTCCTTAGATTCATTAGTGTCATTAGAGTTTGCCTTAAAAGCAGAAGCGAATATTGAAGTCCATAAATATCTTTATTATAATAGTAAAGAAAACGCATATTAAAAGGAAAATAGCAAAAAAATAACAGAATAATATTTAACCTTTCATTCTCATTCCAGCCTTCAATTGCGTCTAAAGAACCCGAATTACGTAAAAAAGTTTACCCAGTGTAGTAAATATCGGAAACACAGTTTCTTTTTTTTTACTGGGGCTTTTTTATCCCCGCGTTCAATTAAACGTTCATTGAATCAAGCTCTTTAAGGTTGTAAACTATCAAATTATTCGCGATATGATTTTTATCTCGTAAAAATTTGTGATGGAAAATCATTTTTATTGGTTTAGTAACTTGCTCACGTGAAAATCGAAACCTTTAATCAATGTTTTGTTACATATGCTGATGATTAAGAGATGTTTCGCAAACTTTGAACTTCCACCTGATGTTGGACGAGAACTGATCCTTCGTATGAATTCAAGGAAAAAGAACTGATACTAGGTTGATCACTTGGTTTTGTTGCTTGTGTGTTTTCTTGGCAGTTTAAATATCACAAAATCGAAGGCAATCTATAAATTCAAGTTAAAACAGCAATTTTACATAAATATGTAAAGTATAACACAGAAAAATCAAATCTAACTTTCAATCTTAAAGTATAAGCACCATCAATCACCGGAGATCAATGTCTCCACTTCATCAACGGTTCTAATCAAAATGGTGGCAGGAAATTCATATCGATTTTTCGGGTCACGTATAGCATCTACTAGTCTTTTATAGGCTTCAACAAAAAGACGTGATACACGTTGATTCACGCGTTTTACTAAGGGTTTAGGGTTTCCTGATAACCGGAAGTTATCAGCATCGCCTAGAGTTAGAAAAGAATCTAGTCTTGCCATTAGACCTGTTAGTGATCGCGTGTCCATGTTGGGGAGAAGGGATAGCGGAGTCTGATAATATTTTCATTTTAGTTAAACGTTTGTATATCTTTTGCCAGCTAAGAAAATCAAATGTATTTTTACACACGTTTTCATCTTTAGTTTCTAAAGCGCGAACTAATGGAGCTAATCCTGATTGCTCTAAAAGATTCATGTACTATAGATATACCGCATTTTTAGTTTCAATGATATATCAAGATATGTCAAAGAAATAAAAAGCAAAAATACTTTTACCTGTTCATCTACTAAGATTTCCAAATGTTCTTCAATTTGTGCTTCTAGCGTGGTAACACGTCCATGGGTAAACTTATATGCAACCAAAGCCGACTATAAATTAAACATCAGGACCGAAAGACTAAATAAATCCACTAATAAATTAAGCGAATTCATTATTTAATGAGCCATGTTACCTGAACATAATGCAAACAATTAATCATATATATAGCTTCATTGAAACGGGATAAATTTTTGGCACCCATTTCACACATTTGCAACAATGGATCTAAAATGGCATTAAGTATTCCTGCAAAATCTCGCTCTCGTTCGGAAGAAGCTACAAGAGATGTCTCGTAAGAGGCCATAATTTCATTCTATTATAAAAGTTTGCTGTTATGTATTCCGTGTAAAGTTCTATTTATGATCATAAAAACCAATGACAATTGTTAATTCACACACGTACCAATTGCAGAATTGTCTCTTTCACAGCTGGCGGTGGTAATAAATCTGTACCCGGTGTCTATTACAAGCAAAGGCATTCAATTTATTTAAATGCAAACGAACAAATTTTCAAAATGATAAATTTGATAAAGTAATATCTACCTGGACGTATCGTAATAATTGTTCCGCTCGAAAATTAAGAGTATTAAAAAATACACGCGATGCAGATTCAGTAATGCTTTAAAAGCGTAATCCAAAATTAGCGGTTTAAGAAATAAATAAAAAAGTTTTAGTAAATGCCATCTAGAGTTTTTATTTTAAATTTACTTACTCTTCAAGTACACTTGATAAAGCAGCATTCGGTCCCAAAATTCTAGAAATAGTGAATTTATAGAATTGAATTAAATTCACTATACGGTATGCGGTAATAGTACCCTGCTGCGAGCCCAGAACTTGTTCCACACGCGTCTATTATTAAATTTCTTTTTCATAAGCCAATAAATATGCAAATTCTTTGGGAAAAAAATTTACCTTTAATGGGCGACAAGTGCCATCAAGATCCCGGTCTAATAGATCTTGAATTATTATATCATCACTTTCCTTTACCGTATTTTCTGATAATGTTGACACATTATTTTCCTCTTTTAAAAAATACACGATCAGAAATTTCTTCCCCCCCAAAAAATAGAACATTTGAATTAATTAATATATCTAATCGTTACCAATATTAAAGTCAAACAGTCCTTCAAGAAATTCACGTTCAGCAGCAACAGCTTGATGAATCCACGCAAGCATATCACCAACATAACGCAAAGGATCACGTGCATGTAACTCAATTGGACGCGGTGTACCGCCTGGTCCACCACGAGTAAGAGCATCCATGAAAATTCGTATGATTGCATTTCGTCGAATATAAACAAGTTCTTCTAAGCAAGACCTTATAATAAAAAATTATTAAACATTCAACTATTCCATCTCTTATATAAAAAATTCTCTTACTGAAAAAGCACGGGTCGTTGTTTAAGAGTTCGCAATGCATTTTTCAAAGTTATGGGTATTTCTAATGCTTCACGCCCCAAAGTTCGAATTTCTGATAAAGTCCATCTATAGAGTTTATCGAATGCTGTTTCTTGATAAGAATTCATTCTTTCCATTATCTCCAGGCTATTGAAGACATTTTATTCTTATCAATAAATAATAGTTAAAATCCAAATAATAATTATATCTTAAAAACTTAATTTACCCAGCTCTTTGATTCTCGGTAATTAGCAATGCATCACAATCTCCGTGAATTTGTTGCAAATGTTTTAATGCGTCAAAAAATTCAGATCCAATTACAGAATCGCCTGAAGACAATACAAAGATTTCTTTTTCCGAAAGAGTAAAACGTTGCAAAAATGCATCAATCAATATTTTCCGCGTTTTACATGTTTCCCTATTCCCATATTTAAAAATTACTCAAAAAATCTAATCTGAGAACTATAGATTTTTTTTCGAAATATAACAAATAATAATCAGGTTGATATTAATGTTAACTTGGTACCTTTGTGATTTTAAGCTATCCGCTTGTTCTAACAAAAATGCAGTTTGTTGATTAGCCGATTCAAGACGAATTTCCATCTCATCACAAAATTTGCTCATTGAATGAATTTCCGTTTCAATAATGGATAATTGCTAAATTTTTTATGAATCAATCCAAATAAATGTTAGTACCGAATTAAATTTGGAAAAAAACAATATTCGATAAATATACGATACCTCAACAATTTTATCAAAAACTCCCAAAAATCTTTGATTTGTCTCAATAACTTTCAGCTCAACCTGCCCTCTCAAGTTACGTCGTTCTATTGGTGTATTACTTGTATAGAACTCTGATAAAGCTTCTAAGGCTGCCTTGGTTTTAGCATCGTCAACGGGATTGGTCAAAAGTTTTGAGACTTTTAATGAGATGGAATTCTCTTCAGTCGCTATGGGTGGTGGTGTAGTAGTAGGTGACCCAGGAAAAGTAGCAGATTTTGGTGTGGATACTCTTATCGGGGTTGCCATTATACTATTACACTAAATGTATTTTTGAAGTTCGCATTTCGATAATTTTTTTGTCACATGAATCTTTTTGAATTATCTGTATGGTTGAGTTTTTCGACATAGTTTGTGCTTTTCACGTGAACGAAAAATCATATGAAAAAATCCCGTTGTGTTTTATCATCCAAAATTTTTTTATCCCTTAAACCGTTCTTTTTAGCAGGCAAATTTGCCACTAAAAAAATTTGAAAAAAATTTTGCCCAATAAAAAATTTTTTTCATTATATTTTATATGTTATGATGCCGACACTCTAAAGACATTCAATACTTTAAAATGCAAAGACTCTATAAATAAAAATATAATGATAAAAAAATACATTATTAAATAGTCTTTAATAAGATCTATAAAATAATGCATTTTTTATAGAAAATATCTTAGAAATTTATTACATATGGTGCCGGAAATCTATAATTGCCAATCACGTGATAAAAAAATAAGATATCTTTAAAACCCTACTCTACTTTACACAGAGATAATTTCGAAAAAATAAACTGATAACTTTGTA